AGCACTTTATTTCACTTGATTGAGTCTTGAAAACAAGCAAGAAATTTGAAATTTCTTCTCCTTCTTCCCCATCAAAACCATTTTACTCCTTCTGGCCTTCCTTAAGATAATGTTCTGTGAACTGGTTTGTGAGAGAGGAGCTGCTGGTGTGGGCTGAAATGTAAAGTGTCATTTCTGCAAGAGCTAGAAATGCAGAGTGATCTAATTATGTGCAGATATAACAAACTTCCTTTTCTTAAATTATGCTAATTATTTTTTGTTTTATAAGTTTTATAGTAAATAATTTGATTCTTATATTGGTCTGCAACATACTCCTAGTAGCTAGTTATTAAAAATCTGAATTAAAAAGCATGTGTGCATATAATTTCCAAACAGTTCTTAATATGAATCATTGACTCATAAAGAACGGTGGGTGATAGTTAGTATTCTGGATACACTGGTGCTTAATTCATTTGATTTTAAGTTTCCAGCTTGTTTGTTCTTTTGTTATAGCGTTTAAAAACATCTTGGCTTACTCCTCATTTTCCTTAATGGAACTAAGTCATAGGGCTGTAAGCTGCATGACTTTCTTAACAGCATATTTAATATGATTCTGTTATCCCTGGCTAGTCAAATTGGCATATGTCCTTAAAATAAAATTAGGTGTAATTCATTATTGTATTCATTATTGAGATTTTTCCCAACTACTTCTGAAAGGAATGCAAGTCCAAAGATTAGGAGAGAAACATTAATCAAGTTATTTCATTATTGTTTTTTGTTAATTCATCAGAGAATTAACACAGTAGGAGACCAAAACTGAAAATATTGCAGCTGCTTAAAGTGGATTTATTCAATTATATTTAAGTAACTCTAGTGGTAAATGGGTCACGTTTTCTCTCTCTTTTTGTGAATTTCCACTGCCTCGCATAAATGACAAACAGCATCTTTTCAGCATCTCAACATTTTGTATGGGATATATGGGTCTGTGTAGTATTCTGAATTACCTTATGGTTCTTGAAAATTTCTGGGTCACTCACACTACTGACACAGTTGGTCAGTAATGAATTATTTTGGAAATCTGAAAAAAATTGAGCAAGGGCAAAAAGGTAAAAGCTGTTGAACAAAACACAAACCATGACGGCAGTTATAGTATCTTTCAGAGTGATAATTTATTTCTTAGATAATAATTAGTTTTGAATTTTGACCACAGAGTATAGGCTAGTTTTTCACAAAGAGAAGAGTAAAAATACTTCTGGCAGTGAAAAGTCAACAAATTATTTATAGAAATGAAAGTCCTGGGCACCTTCTGGTTAACGGAAATTAACAGTGTCATTCTGAAATCCATGTGTTTGGCTGTACTTGGTGAATTTCTTTCTGCAGCCTGTTTTGGGGCTTTTTTAAGTGATATTATGGAATTTGATCTAGTCCTTATGGAAGACTGCATTGTGCATGTATAAGTAAAGTAATGTATAAGGTTACCAAATGTTTCTAGAGTGCAAATTTTACAAATAACCCATCATGCTTTTGAGCTGTGGGTTTCATCATGAAGGGGAAAAAGATCAGTGATAAATAAAGAAGTTACAGAGTATAATATGCAATCCATAAGAAGCCTCAAACATGTCACATTATGATACCAAATGTTTCTGTGTCATTTGAGGACAGATGATAAAATATTTCTCTTTGTTCTTTCTTTATAGAGCAATAGATGGTAGTGTTTAATTTGGAGATGAGTTCCGTGTGTATAAATTATGGCATCTTTATTTATCATCATATTATTTCATCCTTCATTCTGTTTTAGAGCTGATACAGTGCTGTCATATGTGGTCAAGGATATTTGTTTGCTAAGCAATCCCTATGCATATATATATGTTATCTTCACAGGTTTTCCAAAATCTTAATTTCAAAACTCATTTTAATGTTTTGTCCTTCCAGGCTTCTTGGCTATCGCTTACAGCAATAACATTTATGGATATCCCTGTTAGTAACACAAATATTCCATCTAGACATTTGCAGTATATAGATTAGAGAGTGCCTGCTGTACATACCAAAAGCCTAACTAAAACTCTTCTTATATTCTTAACTTTCATGCAGGAAAATGAGGTAATGAGATGCTGCAGTGATCTTATTATTTCTTCCTTTCGTTAAGTGAATAATTTTTCTTTTTTCTAGATTGATAGAGTGAAATATAAATTAATATACTTTACTGCTTTACTTTTTTAAGCATTTAGTTCATTTCAAAGTGAGAACTGTCCTATATTGGTATGACCTTTTGAGAGATCTCATAGCAGTAATATTGATCAGTGACACAAGTTTTGGCAATAATGCAGAGAAGCAGCCAGAATCTCAGCTGAAGTCTGTATAAATCTCATCTGTCTCTCTGTTGGAGTGATGCTGATGTTGCAATACTTATGCAAAATGGGAAAGAACTTGGCTGCTTTCATGTCTCTAAATTTAGTGTGTGGGTGGGCCAGGACAGTGAAGAGTTTATAACATCTCTATGTATTAATAAATCCATTTTGTGTGTGAACTTCTGTAAACCTTTCATTATGCATTAGAAATGCTGCTGTGCTACTGACAATAAGTGTCAGTAGCAAGAAAGACTCCAGGAAGACCTAATACACTTATTTCCTGTAACATTCAAGCCACTGTAATTATGGGTTGTTTGCCTGGCTTCTTTGGTAATTAAGAGTTTTAATTGTTTCTACTTCCAGGGAATTAGTTAAGCTTTTCATTATGCATATTGCCTTCTATAATCATCGGTTCCTCTCCTATGGTAAGCTTAGTGACATCATGGAAGTCAATCAGGTCTTTCAAGGCAGAGCAGTGAAGTACATTCCTTTGTATGGGCTAGATCAGAAAAGGTTTCATAACGGCCTTGGTAATGCTCTTCTGTGCAACATTTAAGCTTACTTTTCAAAAAGCTAAGCCTGTCAGAATTTCATTTACTGTCATCAGAGTGCTTAAGGTCATGAACTAAGGTATTGTTAAGAACAAAACCTATAGGCAGAACCATGCTTGCTTTCTAAAAGCAATTGTACCAAACTTTCCACAATCAACTGGTTACATACTTGCAGTTAGTAATAGAGATAACGGTCTACATTTGAAAATACCACATTGTTAAAACTGGAATGCAGTGACTTTATGAAGGAAATGAGCACAAAAGAGATTGGTGTGATTCCTTTGGCTCACTAGAAATCATTAATTAAGTTTTACTTTATTACATGCAAGGTAGAAAGCACATCTTACTTTTCTCTTGACAGACTCCAAGTGATTGCTGACACATTGAAAGGCAAGAATCAATATTTTAAAAAGAAAAGAAATCAAAGGAAAGGGTTCTTCATTCCTTTTTCCTCTTCCACAGGCTCTGATAGATGGATATATTATAGGGCAGACAGTTAATACATCTGGCAAAAATGTTTTCTTTGAACATAATGAAGTTTTTGCAAATTGTAACTTGAGTCTCTTAAAGCACAGCCAGAACAGACAAACGTTATGCATCCCTTACTTTATGCATTGAAATAATTGTATGTTGGAGAAGTTAAGAGATGCAGTATGCTCTTGTATGTTCATAGGATCATAGAATATCCAGAGTTGGAAGGAACCCACAAGGATCATCAAAGTCTAACTCCTGACTCGGCACAGGACAGCCCCAGGAATCACATAATGTTCCTGAGAGCACTGTCCAAATGCTGTAAGGCTTGGTGCCGTGACCACTTCCCTGGGGAGCCTGTTCCAGTGCCCAACCACCCTCTGGATGAAGAACCTTTTTCTAATATCCAACCTAAACCTCCCCTGACACAACTTTGGGCCATTCCCTCAGGTCCTGTCACTGGTCACCACAGAGAAGAGATCAGTGCCAGCACTTCCTCACATGAGGAAGCTGTGGACTGCTATGAGATCTCCCCTCGGTCCCCTCTTCTCTGTGGTAGGGCAGAGTTGCACTGCCTTATGATTACTAAATGTGGGGAAAATTGCCCTAACCATCCCAACACCTGTTTTCAATTACTGAAATTACTTGTGGCAGTGATTTTGGCATTAGTAGCAGTAGCAGTGCTAATAATATTGATAATAAATGCAGTATGAATTGCAGAGACCATGTGTCAGTATAGGTCATAATTTTTTGGATTGATGAATGCCAAAAGCTGCTTTGGATTGTCCATAACCAAAAATTCAAACTGAATACTATGCAATGGCAAGAAGAGATGCTTCATTATATAAATTCTGGAATGAACTCCAGAAGTATTATCTTTTATTTTATAAAATTTCAGAACATATGATTGTAATATATTTATCTTATATATTTATTATTCAATATTCTGAATTTAAAATACAAAATCTACATAAATAATGTATGATTATTTTTAAAAACTTTGCTTCCAAACTGCAGTCTTTAATGATTGTGACTGTTGTGAGGCATGGAACTTCTGCCTGACTAAACTTGCAATCTAATTGCTTATTTTCTTTTTCATCATTGCTTTGAAAGAATTAAGCAAATAGAGCATGTCTTTGACAGCACTCCTCTGATAAGTGATTTTTGTCTTACTCTCCACTCATCCAAAGTCTTACTATTGACCTAGGTAGTAGCTTTCCCCATCTTGTGTATGTAGGAAATGCCACACCTGTAAGTGAAAGCACTGCTTTTGCCATTTTGTAAAGTTGGTTTGGAAAAGTTAAATTGCCTGCTTATAAAGGTATTTAAGCAGTTGCTTAACTTTAAGCTTCTGATTAAACTCATCCCTATAAAAAACAAAGCACTTAGGAACATCTGGATAACAAGTTTCTGGGATTTAAGTATGTCTGTTGATGTTTTTTGAATTTAAATTAATTAAAGGTTAATTACCATGCAGATGTTTGAATTGAGACATTTGCCCTTGTTCTGATTAGGAGTGTCTAACCTAGTAATGGAATTCAGTTTTTCTACTAAGTTTCATTTGGGATCATTCCCTCTTTTAAAACAAACTATTTAAAGTTCATAGTAACATTATTCTTTATTTTTTTCCCCTGACCCCCTTGCTTCTCAGTGTCTTGTGTTTGAAGATGCACCACTTGGAGTCAAAGGAGCCCTGGCAGCAGGAATGCAAGTGGTTATGATTCCAGATGAAAATTTAAATCCAGATCTTAAAAAGGAGGCAACACTGCTGCTGAAGTCCATGGAAGATTTCAAACCAGAACTGTTTGGTTTACCAGCATATGATTAATGCCTATGAACATCCACTTGACTGGAGATGGATTAAAAGTGAAATGAAATTTTATTTTGGTTTTGTGATTGTTTTTCATCTTTTACTTTCTTCGTCAAAACTAGAGCACAAAAATCCCATTAACACCAAGTATTCTGCACAGTACCTTTGGAAAATTGTCTGGAACGTTTATGATTTGTCCTCTTGATAAATGCTAAATTAAAGCAGCATCTCCCTGTGAAGTGAGTCCAGTCTTGTTCTCTGCACACCATAATGCTTTCTGGGAATATTATGAAACTATTTAGGCAGTTTATTGTAATTGCATTGGAAGCTTCTGGTTCTGTTTCCACTTGAATGACTTACTGTTTAGATCTTAACCAGAAATCTGTTCTAGATTGGCTTTTATCCCATTACCTTGTTTTTGATAGTTATTGCTATCAACATGTTTATCCATTTCCTCATCCTGTACTTGTCCATCTATTCCCCTTGTATTGTGTTGTCTTTTTATTTTTTTCCCCACCTTTTTGCAAGGATTTTTTTGTACTTTCTGTGCTTTTTTATTATGTTTTTTCTTGGAGATTGAATGAGATGACTTAAAACCTCCATTATTCTATAATTCTCTCATTATCCTTTCTGACGTGGTGATAGCTGGCTAGGAGGTTTACAAGCTTATATGATCTTAGAAGTTAACCAAAATGTTTTACATCTTGTTCCTTTCGTTTCCTTCTGATTATTTCATTCTTATGAAATTAATGCTTCCTGTCTCTATGCTTCAGCTCTATGGCCTTAACTCCTTTGTATCCAAATAGCTTTTTGTAGGCTATCCTTACTTTTCCATTCTTACCTCCTTTTTTTTTTTTTGACAATTTCTCTACAGAGAGCGTTGCTATCTATTTTTAAAATGCAGAAATTGAAGATTTGGCTTCAATAAATGCTTAAAATTTATTTTCCTGGCTACCATAATTTCCATAAAATGTTTATCTTGTCAAATGTTCCTCTTTGTCTCTTTTGTCAGTACAAGGACAAGTGTCTCTTTAGAAAATGCTAGAAATGTAGACAGATTTTGGTGAAATTCACAACTACATGTATGACATGGTAGAAGCAATGTCTTTTACTTCGTCTAAAGAAACCTATAGTATGTAGGGCTTATGACAGTTTTACAAAATGAATTATTGTATTCAGCATTTAAAAACCTAATGAGTATACAGGAGGTACTCCAAAATCTTGATAAAATATCGAACTCCATAAAAACAAGAAACTTGAAATATGTCAAATCAGAGAATTTTGATCTTCCTCACAAAAATATTTTCTAGGCATTTCTGGTCTTTAACTGTTTTAGATTTAAGGGCGTTTTGTCAGGAACAAAAATTAATGAATCATAGACCCTTCAGTATTCATGGTGAGTTTCCTTAGATTTTATTCCTCCTGTATTTAAAAAAACCTCAAACTTTTACATCTTTTATGTTGGTATTTTCTTTTACTGTAGTCTGTTTGTACCTCAAAAATTAAGGAAATTTTATTCCATATGGTCAGTCCATAAGTGGTACCGGAATCTTTTTAGTACATATAATGTAATAGTTTGCAGTTAAACTTTTAATTCTAAGGATCTAGAAGCATTTTTTAAAAAAAGGGTGAATATCGATTCTGTGTAAGTATTCTGCATATTATGTTGTTTCTTTAGGCCCATAGATATTGCAGTCATTGGTGTTTGTACAGTAAAAACAACCTGTCCCACCCAACCTGAATTCCATTTCTGGTCTTCCCAGACAAGAGAACAGAAATATCACTGTATAATTCTTCCTTTGACTGATGTTACATAACACAACATGTTACTGTAGAGCAGTAATTCCGAGCTTTAAAGTGTAAAACAGGTGCCTGTTGGGATCCCCTTCGTTCATAATTACTGAATTCCAACAGGGAAGTTACTAGGTAGAACAAGCTTTAATAAGCTATAATTGGTAACTTTTTCAAACTTCTGCATATATTTAATTTAACTGGGGAGTTTTACAAAACATAAAAAATTAGCCATGTCTCATTTATACTTTACTTTGAAGGAATTGTCATCAAAGTCTTGATTTTTCTTTTTAAAGATGTAGAGACATTAATAAATATATCACTGACAAAATCAGAATTACTTCATCATGACCACCATGGCGAGATCAGCATATCCTGCAATTCTAATTTAATAGCTTTATCTTCTGCTGAAAATTAATAGTCAGAAAATTATTGCTCCTTAACTCAACAGCAAATCCTATCCCATAAAATTACTCTTCCATTAATTTAGTATCCCACCTGAGAGTCGTCAGTGAGATTATAGCCCCAAACTGAAATCTGTGAACCTGAGCCATATGCTGTAACCTTCTCATCCTTTTAGTAAAATTTCCTTCCATATACTTTTTGGTGGTTGTTCACTGGCTTCGTGGTCCTGAGCTGAACCATTTAACTGGTATTGAAGTAATTTTAAGTGTTGTGGTTAGCTTTTCTCTTGACTGAATGAGAAATCAGAACAGCACATAAAATCAAATTTTTCTACAGTAACCTTAAAAATCCTGTCATCTCCATCATGTACAAGGTGGATATTGATGTCAGCAGCAGGTGACTGTAGCCTGCCTGATTAACCATATACCAAATATCAGCATATGTTTGTATATACTACTTTACCCACTTTTTGGTTGGATTTGTGGCTCTGTAGCTTGATCATCTCAACAACATCTGTTCAGAAAAGAAAAAAAATAAAAAAGGATTAAAAACTTGGATTCCCTCCCTTCATTCCATCTGCTGCTTTCCACATGAAGTCCTGTTCTGACTGAACTGAAAAAAATCCATATCAGATCCTGGCTACAGATCATGAGAACATGTGAGCAATCAGGACATTTGAATGCTCCATCTGTGTTTGTATGAAGAGGACTGTTAAAAACTAATCCGAAAAGTCTATCCTCTAACTCAGCAAGCAGACTTCAATCCCAATAAATATTTAACGCATGCTTAATTCATTTTTATTAAGCAAAGAATAAGCACCAGCTTAATTTTAAGGATACATTTAATTTTATTTGGATTAATGTAGAATATGTGCTTCAGGCATATCCTGAGAAGAATTCCAGCCTCCACAAAATACAGGCAAAAATTCATGAGCAACTTTTTACCATTGGAAAATAGGATAAATGCAGCATGATGGACCTAAATTCAGCCATGAAAATAAATTTAAAAAAAATTTTTAAAAGTTGGTGAGGTATGAACTATTGTACTGTAACTTAAACTCCTTTCAACCTCACAAGTGAATTAGGATTTACATTTTACTGGAACTTCAGTGGGATTAATCTTGGTAGAATTTCCATGTTGCAAAGATATACATAAATGGAGGTTTCATTGAATGTATTCAGGTGAAAATTCATTGCCTTGGAACAGGATTAATTTCAAAATGTAGTCTGACTTCTGCGAAGCTTGGCATTTACCTTCTACAAATAAAGCTCAGAAAAAGCTGAGATATTCATTCCTCATTTGGATTAGATGTCTTTCTAAAGAATGCTATAGTTAAACCAAAGAAACCTCTGCCCAGAATCAAGCTCATATTGCATATATTCCAAAAAAGCAGAAGCCAAACTAGAAAAATATTGTGAGAAAATTCATAGTAAGACAAAATGAAATTATTTTCTACCACATTAAAATTCACGCGTATCTTTAACAATCAGAGAATACTTGAAATTTACTGCTTTCTTGCTACCTCTAGATACTGATCATCCATACAGAAATCCACCTTTTTTTTTTTTTAATCTAGATAAATTTAGACACCAAAACCACTACATAGGCACTCCATGGGCCATATGGAAAATTGATTTGCTTCTAATTTTTTAATATTAAAACAATGTTAAACAATAAAAATATAGCAGCCTCTTTTTTTTTTTCCAATTAATTTGTTTCCATGCATTTGTTTCTAATTTACTTACTTTGTATCTTCACTGAACTTACCGTGTTTTGACATTGAGAAGGTAGAACTGTTTTTTTGTCAAATTAATGGAAATAAAGGGAAATAGTGGAGTGGAGGAAAAAGAGCTCTCTCAGAACACTTCTCTATCCCAAGGGAAACATGACTATCAACACTTTATCTTAACCTTCCTTTTGGCTGACACTTCTAAACTGTGGGTTTAATCACCGTATTAAAGTGAAGAACAAAAGAAGGATGAGAACTCAAACTAAAGCCTCTTCCAGAACTTGCAAGGGCCAAGGAAGTTACCCCTGACATCAGGACTCACTGAATGTGCCAGTGACTGTGTCTACACTGCCTGGTAGCTCACTGTAACAAAAAAAAAAGTTCTATTAGAGGACGAGGGGTAGCATGAGAAATACTGGTGGTCTCTTCTGCTCTTCAGTCCTTTGAGTTATGGGCTCTAAGCCATATTCAAAATGTCGGGAGTTGGCTCGCTCTCGTGATTAAAACAAGCCTCAGCAGAGAGAAAGCATTTCAGTTCTCACCCCTCTCTTTATGGCATTTTCCCCAGAATATCTGCAATATGAAACTGGAACATGAAATGAAACGGTAACAGGACCATTATCTATATCCAAGGTTCCTTTGATTCAATAAGCAGCTGAGAGGGCATTATTTGGTGGGGAAAAACAGAATGGTAGAAGAAAGGAAGCAACCCATAGTATGAACCATCTAAGACCAAGCAATCCAATGAAATGAAGAAAGAGGAAACAGTCAAGATTTCCACTTGTCCATAGCAAAAATGTAAAAGCAGTAATTATAGAGGGAAATTTTTTTGCATAAACAGAAGCAAAACCCAACTCAAAAATATATTCAAAGACACTGTGTTATGAGACACTGAGATTTCTAGAGACAGGATTCAACCCCTCTAGAAAGTAGAGCAATTTGCCTGTAGAAGGGGATATTGGAAATGGACTATTGGCCTGTCCATGATATCATGATTACTTTAAAAAAATGCATTATGATGGTGTTATTGACATTTCACAAAAAGCAGTAAGGCTATATAGCCAGCAACTCTTCTTCATTTAGAGAACTTCAGCAATTGGAGAATCGAGGCTAATTAAGTTCCTGTAAATTTGACAAAGCAGTTTCCACTGTATCATCTGGATGTCTTGCTAGTAATTTAATTGATTACTCTACCTACATAGCTACAGTGTAGTCAATGTGTCTAATAGTAGCAGTATCTAATCCAAATCCCTGTATGACTGCAGGTAGAGCTGCTAACTTACACTCAAATGTGATAAAATAAAAAAGACAGGAACTTCAAACTAGAGGTTCTTTGTCCAGATACTCCCCTATTTTCTGTGAAAAGGAGGTGTTTAGTAGGGGATCACATAGATCTACAACTGTGAAAAACACAAGCAGCTCCTCATATAAAGGTCATGCAGCTTGTTTGGGGAAGACTGTAAATATAATAGTTCTACAACCTAGCTTTTTTCCTAATAACGTTTTCCAAAGGCAGGGTAGAAACATGTAGGGGCAAGAGGAAGACACACAGATGAATCATACTGAGCCTCCTCTGATTCTCCCAGAGGAGGTGCCCAAGACCAAGAAAAGGAGTCCTTCTAGTGGCTAACCAAAGCAATGCTTTGACATAACAAATGCAGAAATACACAAATTTTATCTCTGTTCTCACAGTTTTCTCTACTGTACAAAAACTTTAAAGGTAAACTAAAATACATAGTTAGGCTTAACGTGCAGAAAGTTCTCTGTAGACTTTGCCAGAAATGCAGAGAAGTCTCTCTGTGACATACTAGTACAACTGCTGTGTACTAGTGTGTACTGCTCAGTGGTTGTCCCAGCTGCAGCTTCTCATACTCAAGTTAATCAGCTGAAACATGGTCAAGCACTGGAACATGGTAGTTGAGCTGAAGAAAGAGAAGGTAAGTGCTACACTGGGGAATGTTTTTCCTTTTCAAAAAATGCTGAAAGACATCCAATAATATTGTACCTTGTGAAATGTCTTTTTGATGCAGCAGAATGTAATTTCAGCAAACAGTAGCGGTGTCACATAGGAATATTTCACATACTTACCTGCTGCAGAATATTCACAGAGACATGGATATCATGAGCTACTTTTAAGTAGGGAGAGCACAGTATTCATTACAATACCGAAAAAGGGGGAAACCAAGTGTTAATGTTTGCTAAAATAGCACCTTGATTTAAAAATTGTGAAGACTATGCGAAATGTATTCAATCGTTTTACTACTGTGTCCTCATTCTTGGATATGATCCAGAAGTGCTGTATTTTACCTGCAAAATTGGAAAGCTGATTAAGTCAAAATGGATTTCCAGGAGACCTATGACTGTAGCCTTGTAAACTGATCCATTATAGCCCTCAACATTGTTCTTATTGATGGCTGCATTTGAAACATTGCAAAACCCATAGCGTTCACTTTCTTCAGACCAAGCATATTAGGTAACTGATTTTATGTTTTTCGTTGCAACATGAGACAGGAAAACATGGGTGGTTGTTTTCCCCTCTCTAAAGCAAATCTTGCTCTAAGGAGATTTATTAATCACGTAATTTCATCCTGTCATATTTCCTTAGCTTATGTTATGTAACTGGTTAGTAATGATTTTATCAATGTAATGGAGCACATATGTAACTGAAATATGTGTTAGAAATTAACTTATTTGTCTAGAGTGTCCTAAACACATTCCATGGCTATCTTATCAAATTATCGTTATTTGTGTTGTGGATATGGTTGAAGGAACTTGGTTTGTGAAATTGTCTATAGGGCATAGGTCCTTTCAGCTCTGATTTTCTAGTGAAGGCTCAACTGTATTAGGAACAGCTTGTAAACTTCTTCTGGTACAAAAGACTTTTTGACGTCTACATGAAAGGAGCTGGTGCAGCTGTCATCTGTGCTCTTCTTAAAGCTGATTCTATATCTGATATGAAATTATTACTCCTTATAAACTCAGCAGAGAGTGCTGTATCCTTAGTGAAGTTCACACCTGTGTGAAGTTTTGCTGAAGGGAAGTGAACAGCCAAAGCAGGAAGAAGGAAGGAAGGAAGGAAAGGAGGGAGGGAGGCAGGAAGGGAGGATTATAATGCCACCCTACCCACAGAGTTGACTCCAAGCCTTCTCAGTTAAATGAATTATCAGTCTGGACAGGAATGACATTTCTGATTAAAAGATCTGTTTAGCTCTTTCTCCTTCCAAGCTGAGACTTCGTGAGCTTTAAAAATACTGGATATTTCTCAATGAAATTTACCTAAATTGCCAACCTTCCCCAGAAAGTGGAAGTATCACAATAAATTCTGCTTGAAAGAGATACTGCCTAAAGGACTAAACACTTAGTATGAGCACCCCACGGGGAGGTTTACATTTCTTTTTCCAGTGATACTGAACTAGCTATAGACTGCCTAGTCTGATGTTGAGCAAATAGCAGAACCTAATATGAAACAGCCTTCTTTGCAGACCAAGCTAACTGCATTAACATTTACCTCACTTGTAGTCTGAGATTTGCAGCTGCATCTGCCTCTAATCTTCTATGGTAGTATCAGTACCCAAACTAATGTAGATAATCTGGACTTCTATTATATCTGCTTCTAATTGATAAAATGACCACACCAAAAATTGCACATTTAGAACAGCATATCTGTGAGTGATCATGTTGGAGGCGATAAGGAGGAGTGGGAACGCTATGAAGCGTGGAGAAAAATCTATAACCCTTAAATGGACTTAAAAATACCAGACTGGACAAACAATACTTATTATGACACCCCCCGAATACGTCTGTTGTACCCCAGTTACTCCC